CTTGTCTACGTGTCTCGAGAAAGTCAACTTATTATCGATTATGACACCCAAATCTTTCAAAGATGCAACTTCCTGAAGTTGATGTGCCTCAAGTTGGTATGAATATCTTATGAATCTCTACTTCTTGGAACATTCTCATATCTGCTGTTTGAGAAATTTTGAGATGCTTATCTCAAAGTTTTGAAGTTGCCTGGTGATGAAACATATGCATTTTATAAATTGAGCTTGATATTTCAGGTTTATATTGGGTTTCAATTTTAAAAGTTGCTTGGCTTAATGATGCTTAATTTCTTTTAACATCCCTGAATTATAATTGAATGTTATTTTAGATTGGATGTAACTAATTTAATGTATGCTTCCTGAAGTTTTTTTTTTACTATAGTTATCACACAACTTTTTGACCATTAAAACATATGAACCATTCTAGATTCAAAACCATGACTGGGAAAGTCTTCAACGTTCGAGCACTTGGCACATTTAAGCAGTGCAGAAAAAATCATCAAATGGTTGTTTGGGGGATGAAAATTATTGTGTCCTTTCTGTAAAATGAGAAATGAGACATGTCGTGCTTCTCCTTAGGTGACATTTTACATTTAAAAGAAAACTTTTATTGAGAAATCATAAGTATATTTAACGTCTGAATTTTGATGAATACGGTTCTTAAATTTGAAATTTTTTCAGTTTAATGAAATGCAACAGGAATGATTTACTTGGCTCTCCATGTATGGGTCTGAGCAAACCTAACCTGGCTGTAATGCTTAGTTGTGGCACTAACACTTTTGGAGTCATGTGTAAATGCAAGGTAAATTTTGAAAATCAACAAAATTATTTAGCTTCTAAGTTGCAATTGAAGAGTTTGAGAAATCTTGGTAAGTTTTAAAAAATGTTTTGAGAACAAAAGGGGAAAAAGGTTGAAAACACATTTTGACAGAAAATAAAATCTGATTACAAACTTCATTCTGCACTAAGCAATATGGAACAGGAAATAAAAGGGAATACAATTTACTAAAAGTAAAGGAATTATTTTCATTGGATGTAGGAAGTAGAGATATTTGTAGTGCCCATACTAGAACTTTGGTACATATAAATGAATAAAATTTGCCCAGTGAACTAAATAATTTAGCCAAATAAGTTTGTGGAATTACAAAAATTGTGAACTAAAATGAATTACATCACCAACTATTAAAAATAATGGTTTTAATTTATAGAGTTTACAATGTTAATTGAATTATGATTATACTAACCCAATATAAGAAAGGGTAAATCTTGATTCGACCAAGCAAAACTATTGTTAATTGAAAAAGTCATAAGTAAATATTCCTGGTAAATAATGTAGATGATGCCAGATACAACGGCCGTGTGCCCATTTTCACTTTCATCTAGTGTAGTGCAGAGAAAGTTATGTATTAAGGGCAACATCTTATACCTTTTGTATTATTTATAATGGTTATGTAATATTATAATGCTATAACTAGTGTTGGCGTTGGCGTGGGAATGTAACCCACATCTGGGATAGAAGGAAGAATGAAGCCAATAATTTTCTTCCAACTGAAGAAAAGGAAATATTTAAAATTAAACAAAATAATCAACAAGAAATGTAGAGAAAAATTGAGCCATTTTTGAAATATCTTTATCAGATATTTTGGGATAATTTGACTGAAAATTACTCCAAAACTATCCATACTTTGGAGAATTAATTTGTCTTCATTTAAAGATTTACTTTTAAAGATGAGATTTCTTCCACAAAAAATCTTGATCTCTAAAAAATGGTATAGTTGGAGGGGGTCCAAACAATTTTGAACCTTTGCAATTTTCAAAATTTCAGAGGTTTTAATGAACAAATTCAGAGCCATTTTTTGAGACAATTTTGAAAATTGTGGCCTTCATCATATAAAGTACTCCCCAAAATGAAAAGATCTGTTTCAAATTTGCAGGACTTCAGGTGCAAAGAGATCAATCACAGAATATCCATTTGGAGAAAATCCTTTGAACAGTTTTGAAGTGGAAATCCCAGTGGAACAGTTGGAAAGTTGTAGACGGCATTGTCCACAAATGGATAGTCACAAGTTTTGAAAAAAACACTTTTTGTATCAGAGACTTCCAGTTTGAATTTCTCTCCAATTTTCAACATTAGCTTTACAATACGTTCTCTACACCAAATTTAGAATCTAACTTAACTATGTTTAAGGAGAAAATTTAAAGGAAAAAAAGTTGCCCTTAGAATCTACCACAGCCTTCAGAGCAGAAGCCAGAATAAAATTAGATTACATATACAATGATTGCAAAAGTGAAACTAGTGCAAAAGACAGGAAGTCAAATCTCAAAAGGAAGATCCTCACAGGGCCTCGTGGCGTAATTGCCAAGGCCCATATTTGATCCTTGACGAAACTATGGCAAATTTGTAATGGGCAAAGCAATCTCTCATTAGGTTATCTTGAGGTCTCCTGTTTTCCCTGCATCTTTCGCCTCAATTATTTTTGCTATTATCTACTTGTTCATCACTCAAGGGCCTCGTTGATTTCAGCAGGTTAAATAACAAACAAGGACCTTGCATTACTTTTAATTTTATGAGGCACTACAATCCTGAAAAATATTGAAACCTGTGCACGTTATGTTGAAATAGACATCTTAACATCACATTTTAATCAGTACAAAACTAGTTCTGTATAGTGAGCATGTCACGTACTTGTAGTTTTGTTTCTAAAGCTAAAACGTTCTATTTCTTTTACAATCTCGCCATCTAATACTGTAAAATTTTCTATCAGTTGAACTTGATAAAAAAATAAGCTGTGTAACCTATTGTCTTTATTACTAATGCATTCCAAAACCTACACTCACTGCATTTGTTGGAAACATCTGCTCTCCACCTTTATTTATGAAGCTTTTATTCACTTTTATTTAAATATTCCAAGCAAGGAGTCTTGCAATTAGGTTATATCTGAATTGTGTGTATATTAGAATTACTATGTAGAAGATAGGGAAGCAGTAATACCACCCAGAGCAATATTTTAGAATAATCAAGAAAACATGCTTCTTATATTGAAGCATCTACATGTAATCAACTGAAATTGTACATCATCTGTGACTGACCCTCAACTTTACTTTCTTAGGAAGTGCTATTAACCTTCTCCCCTCACTGAAATTTAATTACAATTAAAAGAAACATAAAAAAATAAATCAGGAACACTTTTGCAAATTGTTTATTAAGTGCATCAATGTTTACAGGTAATACATACAGGTAAAATCCTGCAGATTTTTGTAGTATATAATAAAAGTGTCTTCAATATGCCTCAAAATTTATTTGTTGAAAAATATCTATGCTCTCTTCATCAAAAGAAATCTAAATTTAATAACACTGAAGCCATTAATACTCCATATTTTATTGCTTAGAACTGAGGCTATAAATACAACATAATTTAACTAGTTTCCTCCCCTAGATTAATGTCTAAAAGTAAGTTTCAAAATTCTTGTTTATGTTCATAACTGTACTATTCTACAAGATTTCACCTGTACACATTTCATTCACAAAATGGTTTGAGATCTTATTTTCTCCAAAATTATACTTTCTAACATTTTTATGTGAAATTAGTCTTTATTAATTAATTTTCAAAACATTACAAATCACACATGTGTGTCTTCAAATTATACATGTGATTTTATTGGAACATTTGTGTTTTCAAGAAAATACATTGGGATAATATTTTCAATGCCTCTTTTCATTAAAATTGAGTACATATTGTCTTAGAAATAAATGATCAGTATTTTGATCACAGAACATCTAAAATTCCATGTAACACTAATGTTTGATTAAGCATGGACAGAAACGGATGCCATGTGGATGGAAAACGACAGCTGATACACTTGATACATGTAAGATGCAAAAAAAAGAACCTGACTTGACATAGCAATATGTAAAAAAATAAATATTTTTATGTTTTTGTCATGTGTATGTAGTGGCTTATTTATTTAGTGTTGACATCTACTTTGCACTTTGTGTCAAAACATACATCTCAGACATAAATAACAACAAACACTACATTGCAGACTATCATGAAGAAGAATCTCAAAAGTACTCGATTGTTTAAGTCTTAACAGGAAATAATATGATAATATAATACAATAAAAAAATAAAAATCTTCAAAATTCATCAAAGCAATAAAAATATTTTCTAACAATGCAACAACAAAATTCAACACAATCACACAAAAATTAAGTATACACCATTCACAAACTTTGAACCACAGCTTTTGTAGAATTAGTTATTTAATAAATTATCAAGATCTGATGTTACAATAAACACAGGACTTGCTGAATAGTAATCATTAATATCAAAAAGCTCAGCCTCGTTTGAAACTTCACAAGTACCTGGCCTTTGCTGGTTGCACTTCTTTGGTAATAAGAACACAAGAGACAAGGCAATGACTATGTGCCATGCACTGTGAACATACTGGAAAAGGGGGAAAAAAAATCCAGAATTAGCACCTGAAAGCATTCTCCTGCTAAAATTACAAGAACATAAATGTCTAAAAGGAGGAACAGTTTTTTCTAACACAAAATGTATAAGTGGTAAAACAATATTACATAAAGATTTCTGATTTTATATACCCAGTGTCTCTGAATAAATGATACAAACTGCAAGGGCATATTGGGGGTGATGAAGATAACTTTTTGTCAAAGATGATGCGTTGGGAAATATAACTAGGGGCTGATTTTGATGACCTAAAACATGTAAAATAATCACCAAAATGATCAATAAAAAAAATTGCTTGTAAAATGTTTTTAAAATGCCCTAAAAGCAAAGAAAAATCACAAAAAGGTTGGTCAAAACCAATTCAAATAAACAACACAAACTGATGTAATCAAAGCTACTTCATTTCATTCAAGTGAACTCGGCTAGCAAACTTTTGGTGTGGACAGTTCTTTAGCCAGAAATCCCCATCTTTAGTTATCACAAAATTTGCAGAACTAACAATGGTGCTGATAAACATCACAGGAAGCATAGATTACATACTCAAGGGCTGAAATTACAATTTCTGAGCAAAGAAATCAAATAGTCAACTCCTGATCCTATAATAGGAATCCTGTAGAGAACCTTTGTTGTATCTCGTAAATATTATTTGAAGCAAGTACCATTAAAATGATATTAAAATCAATGAAATCAGCAAAAGATGCTTCGAAAGTGCATGGAAAAAAGTGAAAAATGACTTATTAGTTGAAATTGACAAAAAACACAAATCATATAAAAATGGGTCATTTCCTATGTCATAACATAAAATTTGCGTCTATACTAAAAGGCATTGTTCTAAAGTGAAAAGGGAAAAAAATGACATTTCATTTATATCCGCCCCTACACACAAAGTTATATGTTACATTTACCCTGATTGGTATGCAACTCATCATACATGTACTTTGCAGTACACACACTAATGCATTCAAAGTGATTTGGCATACCTGCTATAACTGCAGGCCTGCGCGTAACATAGGGTTTTTGTAATAAGTACCCTGATTATGTCAATTCATGTTCCTGCAACACCCACATTTATGGGGAGTCATGGCTAATTGGAAATGTAGGTGTGGTACCAATGTCATATAAACTTCTTGTTTACATCCAGGGGTCAATCCATTTTAAATGGTTCAGCACTGGTTGCTCAACCATCTCAGGGTTAAAAAAAAAAAAATTGTTCATAAATTTCCTGATGTTTTGAAAAGAATAGATTCCATTAAGGAAAAAATCTCTTTCTTTAATATTGTAGTTGTCAGAACATGCCCCCAAAAATATTGCAATTTTCAAAAGATTAGGGGATTTTACCGAACATGATACCTTTACCATTCTCTTAAGTGTCATTTATGCTACAATGTAGGGCAAGATTTACACAGGAAAAAGTCTAATCAAAAAAATTGGTGCCATTTTCGAGAAATTTTTTGAAAATGCTTGAGGCCGCCTCCATGTAAAGTACCCTCAAAAATCAAATATCAGGTTGAAACTCTCAAAGCCTCGAGGTAATTTTAATCGATCTGGGAATATCAATTTTGGAGAAAACCAGCTGAACAATTTTGACCACACACGGATGGACGGACAGACATACGTTTTGCTATCAATCAACTTTTTCATATCAAGGACCCACAAAACATGGTTTCTGGCTACATCACATATTAGAGGAAGTAAATTACTATGTATAGGAACAAGATTTATCCACTTTTTCATTATCAGGGCCCAGCAATAAGAGTGTTTCACAGTTTTCCAGTGCACAATTTCATTACTTTCTTCTTACGAAGTGTGAAAAATTAAAAAGGCACAAATAAATTATCACCAATCCTTGAAAACTTTATGACATGTTTCCTTGAACATCACAGATGCCAGAGGATTTGAAAAAAAGCATGCAAACTATGTGAATACAAGAAAGGTGGTAAAAATTTAATGAATTCATGACATCTCCTGAAGTTATTCTCATAATACATAAATAAACAAAAATTACCTGGTAATTAGCTTCTGTTTCAATAAAGGCAAATAAAATGAGACCCACAGTGGCCAAGAAAATTCCTGGCAGCAATAGCAACAGTAAAGAATACTGAAGATGGATACACCCACGCTGTCGACAGCATCGAATACACCAAGTGGCAACCTATAAAACATACCACATAATCATCATTAGTATGATTATGTAGATACTATAACAAACATTTTAATTCTTTAGAACAGATAAATTAACTCCATTATTGAAATTGAAAAGAGAAGATCCATTTTCAACTCATTCTACTACTTTTTATTGTATCTAATTTTGTCCATTAATCATCAAACTATATATAAAGTTATTAACAAACTATCACAATAAAACAATAATAAAATGTGTTTGGAACAATACTCTATTATGTTGCTACTGGATGTTCAGTTATTACGTTAAATACCGTAAGTGATAAAATGCTTGACATTACGTTTATTACAAGATTGTGCTTATTACTATAACTCACTTGTAGTGAAGAAGGCCCTACTTCCCACTGTTTACAAAAAAAAAAACAAAAAGTCCGAGAACGTTTTCTACATTATATTAGCACCCTTATCCCAGACATTCAAGGCAGTAGTTAGTTACTGTTCTAATCAAACTGAGATTGTTAAAACATCTTACTCATTACTAGTGTGATCTGAAAGATATAACCACACTCACAGGTATCACAACTCCAAGTCCAAATGGAATGATAAAAACAAGGAGTCCAGTGCGATTGTACTCCACACCAACAGCAACAATGAGAACTCCCATCATATGCAGAGTTGAGGCAATGTGAGGAGGAATGCCGGCAATTGCTACCAGTGTTACCCAAAATGCAAGAATTGAACAAAAGAAGTCGCAAAATTGCAGCACCTACAAAGAAAAAACAAAACATGAAGCACACATTAAAATTCTGAAAAATTATTTGCATATTCTGAATTCACTAATACAAGCAATTTTTACCCACACATTTGATTATATTGTCAAACCTATTACCTCATATTTGATGACACAATAAGCATAGAAATCTTGGTCACAAGCATGGTAAAATGTTGAGAAAACCATTGTAGCTAGATACACCAAGGCTTCTGTGAGTAAATTCCTTCGTAAGGCTAACAGCACAGCAGGTAGGAAAAACACATTGCTGAGTGTGAGTAACAGGGTGGTGAGGAGAAGTAGGCTTTCGGGTGTAGCATTCCGTCCATCAGTGCACCCCCAACCTTCATAGCCTAGAACAAGAAACATTTACCAGAATATTAAACAATTATTCAAACAATAATGTAACCTAGTCACACAATTTCAAAATTAAACTGTACACTGGGTCTCATTAAAAAAAAAAAATAAAAAAAATAAAAAAAATCATCTAGAATCACTAACCAGTTATCTACTGAGCTCCAGATGCTTTTGCAAATACAATATTCTTGCCTAGAGCCCCTACTCAAATAAATCATAAATACTCCAATATAAGGAGAGGGGATTTCCAATGTCCTTGAGGAAATATATGCAATGACAAAGGCTAACGCAATAAATGTGCCAATTGAAAATAATATTATATTAGTACAATGAAATTTAAATAATCCATCCACGGTGGGATAATTGATGCACAGAAGGAATGAAAACTAAAGAGGGATGCAATTCATTAGATTATTATTAGGAAATATTGCTGTTAGGATAATCAGTACAGCAGAATAAAATAGGGTACAGAGAATTAATATAGTAGAGGAAAGATTAGGTCTGTAAAAACGTAATACATACCATCAGTGGTTTAAGCAAGAAGTTCATGTCCATATAATAAATTAATTATTAAATTCTTAACACAAATTTTAAATTCAATAGTAATAGGCAAAGTCAAAACATTTGCAATAATAACAGAAAATAAAAAGCCTTTACAAAAATGTAAAAATCTTTTACCACTTTCAATGAAATACAAAGAAATATATTGAGTGTAAATGAACCTTCAAATGATGTACACCTCTCTCTCTCTCTCTCTCTTCAAATTATCTCTGAGCCAAAACTGAAGAGATAATTTGATTTCTTCTTAAAAGAATGTAATCTATTAAAATTAAGGGCAGTACATTTTGAATAACCAAAATCATTTAGTAAGATAGTTTTACATCATCAAAAATATATTAATGAATCATAACTTGCCATGGGGACTTTTTCTCCCTATGCCAAGCAAGACAATCATTATTCTTCCGAGTCTCAAATTATGTTATCGTCCTGTTAGTTCACATTAGAATTTTAAGTTATTTGATATCACATTTCAGGAACTTTTAATCATAGAGGAAAGAGGTTACTTTATAAATTTCCTCCATGCTTCAACACAAAAAGGGATTTAATTCTAAAAACACATGAAATTAGATGAAAGAAAGAAGAGCAAAAGTCGAAAATTTGAGCTGCCTTACAGTGTGGAACATGGGAGATATATTTACTACTATAACAAGTAAGGATTTGTTGGAGATGGAAGCATTTTTCACTTTCAGCTCCTGGATATTTTTATTTTTTAGAGGAAACACAAAGATTGCACTTGTATTTACTGTTATTTTGAACTCTTTTTTTTTTTAGTTAGAATGCATTAAAATATGTTAAAAAATAACTATTTTCCATACAGAGTCATAAATGATGAAATATATTGAAAAAGCATTTCATGACTTCATAATAATTTTAAAAAAATTATCATTGCAGCCCCAAACAAACTATTTTTTTACTGAGGGAGAGTAACAAATTTTTAGCAGACTAAACACAGAATGATGACACAATTGGGAAAACAAAAATGTCTGAATTTTCCAGACCTAACAACATCATTTTCCCCTGAACTATATTGAAATTAACTCGAAGAAATCCAAAATGCTTTTGAGAACAAAGATGATTTAAATCAATTATTTTTTCAACTAACAGTGCAACAAAAAAAAAGAAAAAGAAAAAGGGGGGGGGGGGAAAAAAGAGAAGAAGAAGGAAAAACAGCAGTTTTTAAGAAAATGTTTATTTCATAAATTGTATAAATTCTAAGAACAAACTGGGCAAAACTTTTCCCCCCCTTCAAAAGACTGTGCATAACCTTTTTTAAAGAGCTGTTTTTTTTAACAGATTTTGTTGAAGACAAAAAACTTTCATCTTCAATTATGTAGTTTTGAATTGTTAAATTGTCCCAATTATCAGAAATACTGTGAGTTCCCTGGAAATGAAACTAACACCACTTTGCTTTTCCCCATCTTTTGGTAGATAGGAGGAGAAAATTTGGAGTTTTTTGAAAAAAATTAAAATTGCCTGTATTTAACATACAATTGTGTGAAAACTACTCACATTTGTAAAAAAATTGTACATCATCATCTTTCAAGTATTTAAAGAACAAATTTTCTGAGGAAATCTCCATGTTCAATACTGAAGATGAAGCAAGTCCCCGAAAAAAAAAAGGACACCTACACCTTTCTCTTAAGTGTCTTTTATATTATCCTAGGACAAAGTTTGATTAAAAAATTGGAGCCATTTTTGAGAAAATTTTGAGGCTTCATCATGTTGTAGCTTCAGTGGGCATCACCCAGGACAAAACTTATGGTATCACCCCTCCCATAAACCCATAAATTAAATATAAAAATATCTATTACTATATTAAAATAGTTAAAACATTTAATAAAAATAAAGTATGTTTGTATTGTTGCATTTATTTATACTATATTTAAAAACTGTCTCTAATTCTGAATAATTGAAATATAATTTTTAAATAAGTAATCTAAAACGAAGTAAAACTAAAAAAATGCATGTTTTTTATAAAAATATAAGTTTTAAATAGAGTATTAAAATAATGTAATTCCAAGAATAAAATTTTTTAATTAGTGTCACCCAAGGAAGACAGCACCCCCCCTTCCCTAACTACGCCATTGGGCTTCATGTAACATACCCGCAAAATCACAATCTTCATTTCAAACTCTGAGGGAGTTGACCTCATTTAAACCAAACCAGGTATATCAATTTTGGAGAAAATCTACTGAACAGTTTAGGCGCTGGCATTAACCGCAGACAGAGGGACAGATAGTCATTTTACTTACAATCAATGTTTTGGTACCAAGGAAACAAAACATGGATTCTGACTACAGAACATGACAGAAAAAGTAATTTATTCAAATAGGAACAAACGAGAGCCAAAATAGTAATAAATGGAAAATTAGCAGACCAAGTAAATTAATTTTTATACCTTGGAAATATCGTAAGTGTATACAACTAACCTCAGGAAGACATAGAAAACAAACTTAATAACTACAATACAACATGTGAAACAATGAAGAGAGACAGACTCAGAAACAAAACAAACTCCACTATATAGCTGCTAAACCTAGAATCGTGTATGGCTCTGAAACATGGGTAAAGAAAGAGACAAACAAAAACTAAAGGTGATACACATGAGGTTTCTAAGACACCTAACGGGAATCACAAGAAGAGACAAGAAGACATCAGAAAGAAATTGAAAACAAAATGTTTAGTAGAAGAGACAGAACAGTCTCAATGGAGATGGAAAGATCATTAACAGAGAATGAACAGATTTCCAAAATTAATATGGAAGTACAAAACATTTGGGATAAGAGATAGAGGGCAACCACTAAAAACATGGCAACAGCAGGAATACTTGGAAGATAAACAATATACCAAGAATACTGTAATAAACCAATAGAAACAGGCTGTAGAGCCTAATTTCTGGTCCGTTCATGATGATGATGATGCTAATGATTATCATTATGATATGATGATGATGATGCTGCTGCTGATGAACAAGATTAATCTTTTTTCTTTCTTTTTTTTTGTTACAAGGACCAGGCAATTCGATTTTTTCTGCCGAAAATTTGCTGTTTTCCAGCACATGATTACAATATTTCCTCTTAAGATGTATGGAAGAGAGAGTAAAAATCATAATTTTTTTAACACTTCCCTTCTAACCGTTTGGAAGATCTGCCAAAGAGCAATGGACTGCCTGAACAGAATTTTCCACTGAATAACAAATTCCCTGACAATTCCTAGTTTTCTTGGCTGACCCCAGCTAGAAATGCCACGTGGCAAAAAAGTTTGATTCCACATTTCTCCAACTTTTCTTACTTTTCTAAATCTATGAACATAAATTTTACGTGACTACACTGAAATTAATTCAAAGAAATAATACATTTTTCACCTTTCTTTTTTTAATAAATTTATTCACAATGCACATTTTGATGATTAAAATATAGTGACTTCCTAACTTCTAGGAATTTACATCTAATGCAAATTGTACAATTCGATTACGTTTGACAGAGATAACAACGTTTCAGTCAGGGCAGAGCAGATTGTCTTTAACAGCCCTGTATTAATGAAGAGAGCATCAACCAAGTCAAATAGCAGGTTGCCGTGGACCATACAAGTTTGCAGAGAATCAGTCTAGTGTGGGGTGAATCAATTTAGATCACAGTGGGCTGAGATATTTACAGAATTTGTGATGGAATTGTTAACACTTCCTTCATTCCAAATGTTCTCTCTTAGTTGGTCATCAGTGAGAGTTTTGGTTTCATTATATTATTTACTTATGTCAAACAGACATGCAGTCTTGAAGTACAAAAATACGAAAGTATTAATATATGAATACAATATCACATGTATAATGCACACACTATTATTATACAATTCAAAGCACAGTTGATCAAACTTATGGCACTCCTCCCTCCATTAATTTATTTTGAGTATTATCACTTGCTTTATCACCTTTCTTATCCATCTGTGGGAACCAAAGTGGTTCTTCATCTATAATACTAATTTTGAAAATATGCATAAATAGCCATAAAAGTATGTAGCTTCCATGTGAAAGGGTTCTATATTTCAATAGATACCCAGGAACACTAGAAGAATCCAAAAACAATGAAAAACATGATTTTGATTGAAAAATGCAAATATTTGATTGTGTTATGCTGCCTATTCTCATACTGCATGTACTGACAGAATTTTCATGCTCAGTGTCATTGCTTTCAAGACAGCTGACATCATGCAACAACAAGGAATAGGTTAGTTACCATTAAATATTTGCTACTCACGTGTTATGGAACAACTGTTTTGATATTTTTGGTAGGTAACTAACTCTTCTATTGTATATCTATATATTTTATACTTCATTATTGCAGAATTCATAAAGACTGTTTTGGTTAAAATATTTTATGTGTTGCAATGTATGTTGCAAGAGTATTTTATTTGTTATTCTTGAGCAATTGAATACTACTTTTTGGAAAACTATTTTGTGTGGTTTTGCCCAGCAGAATTTTTGCTGCTGCAGGACTCTAGTTGTTGGTACTTTGATATTTTTAAATAATAAAGAAAACGTAATGATGTATTCTTGACCACAACTTTTTTCTCACTTGCCTGCCCTAAACTGCTTAGGTTGCACCTGCAGTCACCTTGTTTTATGCAGACATAAAACAAAAATGTAATAAAACAAAAAGTTCCCAAGCTGCATTTGCAACACAATAATTCATTACATCAACATTAGATAATAAAGTAAATTATTACTTTTGAAGGTAACTTAATAATTCAGAAGATACAAAATGACAATTCCTAGTTCGTCTGTCCCAGCTGGAATCACCTTGAAAATGGAGAAATATTTAACATCCTAATTTACCATAGGTTATAAGGCTACTATATCACAGTGCAGAGTTGCTGGTACCAGAGCCTCCTAAATATCTAACAATGAGTGAAGAATACAATGATGAACATATAGAGACAGAAGAAGATATCCCCGCAGACCCAACATTTCAAGCCTTCTGTGAATTAAAATGAGCCTCCTTTTTGTATTCAGGGGATCTCAATGATTTAGTTTGTGTTGTAGTAGCAATAGTTTCAGCTTTTAGCTTTCTGATTCAAAGGATAGAATCTGGTTTGAAAGAGTTTTTCTTGGTGGCTATGGTTTTATTGTTTCTAAAAATTACTCCAAGGAAATTGACACCATAAAATATTTGTCACCATGATATTTTTGTAAGTCAGAAATTTTGAGAATGAACATTTCATTAATTTGTTGAGCGATATTGAAAAGATGGCATGACTGTCTTTCACAATTGTATGCAAGATCTGACCTAACATTAAGATAGGGAACTTTGCAATATTGTACATTAACAGCTAAAATCAGACTACCACCACATAATATTTAACTATACTATCCGCCTTGTGGGATTAACTAATACTACAATTCTGAAACAATCATTTCCACTTCTTTCTGAATAGCCAAGGTGCTGTCAGTGACGAATATATCGAACGGTTCTATCATGAAATTTATCGAATTATCACAATATCTGGTTAATGCTGGTCATTATGAAAAGTGTAAAGTGATCATTACAAAAAGTATTGCAGGAAATTAAGGTCAACATTTTAAAAAATAGTTCCATCACATTTCTTCACTCTTATGTTGTATTTTTTGCTATATGCAAGTGTATCTCTTGTTGTAAGAGTGTCATTTTGCCAGACATGAAAACTGTGGCTGAAACAATAATTCTGGAATTATATCTGGATTCAGGGGTGAATGATCTTCCAACAACAGCATATTATTTGTTTGTAACAGAACAAAGTTGTCTACTTGTAGACCAGTGTTACATGTGAAATCACCAGTTATAATTAATTTCAATCCAAAGACACTTTTTACTTTCAGCAACAATTACATTTAATACTTATGACCTTGTAGAAAACACAAAATTCATTTACCATGAAGGTGTCAGACATCAGGAACCAAATGATATTTGTACCTTTCTGCTTTATATAAATGAGGCAATTAGCAATTAAATAAAAGATTAAAAAAAGTGGAATACAAAATTGTTCCTAATGTTAATATCCCGGGGAAAGTTTGCGAGCATGTATCAATGTTTCCCAATAACAATGCCTTTTATTGGGAACCAGAACTTATGAAACTGATTTATGTTCATGAACCAGTGAAAAAACATTGTGGGTGCTATATTATCACTCATTTATGACTCTTATTGTAATACAAGTAGGGGAGTTTTTAAAATGATGCTGAAGAACTTTTGTTAAATACTGTAGGAATTTCTCTGGGTTAAAGACAATTTTAGAGAACTGTTATTGTAATTTTTCCACTAAAATCATGGTGAATTAAGAACATTTTATTGCAGAGAAGAAGCAGAAGAGGAGAAAAAATATTTTAATTATGTTTATTTTAAGACAGTAAAAATCAGAAAGAATATAGAAATGAGCAAGGAAGGTTTCGTATTTAGTTGTGAAATTTTTTAAAAATAAAATAATTTAATATTACAATAAAACTCTGTTTTTAGGTTTTGCTGCCTTTTATGTAATTTTTCATTGGTCCCACTGTAAAGCCTACATCCTGCAATTTACAATTTGATGTGAAGAGTGCTCCCGGATTTTTACGTGATTTTTTCTCTTTATTTTTTACTTCCTCCTATATGTGCTTATTATTTGGAGAAATATACATATTGCAAAAAAAGTAATGAAATGCTGTGACAAAACACAGCGATTTTCTGACAGAAAAACACATACTGATCCAGAAGAAGTGGATAAATCCTGCACAAATATGTAGTAAATTAATACATATGCGCTATATACGTATGTAGTAAACACCCAAAGTCTCAAGTTTCTTCAGATAAATCAGGGGATATCAATTTTGGAGAAAATCGGCCAAACAGTTTCGGTGTTAGTGTTGACCATAGATGTACAAACCAATGTTTTGCCGTCAATTGATTTTTTGGTTTCAAGGACTAACAAAATGATGAATTCTGGCTATACCACATGTTATAAGAAGTAATTTACTATATACGGGAACATGATCTATCCACCTTTTCATTACTATGGCCTATCAATAAGAATTTTTCTGTCAAAATTTGTTGCTTTCCAGCGCACAATTATAATACTTTCTCTTCTTTCGAAGTAAGGGTGAGGAAGTAAATACACAGCCACCATTGCTGTATATAATGTAAATATTTGCCTATCCTATCGTTTTTTTTAAACTTTCCTGTATTTTACACTTTTTTCCATTGGCCCTCTAAAAAGTGTAAAAACAGGGTTTAACTGTACTTCTTTCATACCCCAATATATAGAAGTTATTTTCCATGTAACATTTTCAAGATAACAAAAATATTAAAAGTAGCTTTTTATTACTTGTGATGCATTTGAGAAACTTTTCATTTTCAGGGATTTCAAAATTATTTTTCAATTGTGAAGTCTCCTCCATTTTGCATATTACAAATCTATTCTACAAACACGAAATGTAAGTACAGAAAACAAATCAGCTTCCTGGCCCTTATCTTAAAAATTAACAGTATTTTTTGACTCCTGAAAAATTTTATATATATATATTTCTGTGAGTGTGAAAATATATATAAAAAACATAAAAATATA